AAAAAAACTTGTGTTGATATGCTATTCAGATCTAGAAAGCATTGTAGTAACAAAACAAGTATTTACTGGCTCAGTCTTGTTTTTTTGCTTTGTGAAACACGTATCCTTACTTATTTGTGAAAGGGAAGGGATGTGGTCTATAACTGACCGATATATTTGCCATGTATGCCTTTAGTCTGATTGATCGATGCTGTCTGCTATCAGACACTCACGCATATCTAACGGAGCCACTCTAATAAAATAGCGATCCACTTCAGCCAGACAGATTTTGGCGTCCAACTGTCCTTGATGATTAACTCGTTAACTGTTTAACTTCTCCGCTTGACTGATTTCGGATGTTGTGTAACGCTTGCGTCCGTTGTTAGCCTGCCTACCTGCTTACGTGTTTACTCTCCAGGTTGGTCACCGGCCTACCGACCGGCTCCACATGTACATACTGTTAATCAATGCATTCCATAATTCACTTCTCAAATGGGACACAATACCACCCAAACGGAAAAAAACGACAATCACAACCAGCTTTGCAACCATTAACAGCTGTGTTCCATAAATAAACGCAATGAAAACCTTACTGAATCACTTCATCTTAGTTGTGTGGCTCAACTTGATGAGAGTAGTTCGGATCCAATAATTCCATCCCTTGTGAGTTTTCTACCAAGATGTGTATGTGTGTGCTCGTTCTCACTTTTTTTCTGATCCGTGCACCATTATTTTTCTGCTAGTTCTCCACCTTGCTGCCTTCGCCCACGCACACCTCATTCTGACTTGTGAACTTTTCTGTTTTCGTAACCGTAGGTGCGATATCACACTGCAAGTGTGTTGAATGCCCCAAATGACTTACGAAGTCGCCACTTATAAGACAAATTTTACACTTACTTTTGTGTAAATGAGAGGGTTCTTCGATTAACCACGCCCACGTACTTGCTCTGGGGAGTTGTGTTTATAGCAGTGACTGGAATGCGCTAGTTACTCTTCTAAGAGAGGCATGATTTTGTGCACGATGATGTGTTTTGCGATCGTGTTCACGATCCGCTGATCAATTCCCCTGATTTCGTCTCCACTATTCGTGTCTGAAATCATTACTGAACGCAAGAAACCATGTGGCGCATGTGCGAACATGTTAACAGGTGAAATAATTTTGCAGTTTTGATGGCATTTTTTTGTATCTCATTGGTTTACCGCGAAACCTTCACAATAGTGTGTTGCTGAGTTCTTTCGTTCTCATCTTACTTGCTCCACCCGTGTGGTGATATTAGCGGTATTCTTTTGTAGTGTGTGAACATTTTTTTCTCTGTTCACAACCAGATCTTGAACTGCAACCACCTTCCGTGTTATCTGGTTTTGAAAGAGCACAGTGCTATATAGGCAATCGGTAAATAATTCGTGTGGAGCGATATGAGAGCAATGCGAGTGGTTGTCTTAAATCGATGCGCTTGGCTTGCCTGGTTATTTTGTTTTGCCACCCATTCCAGCTCACTAAGTTGACTGTTCATGGCGATTCGTCCTCATTTAAAGGCGTGTCCACTCCATCCTATATCACAAGCAAAATCCGCGCAAAATTCTGGTCCTGAAACTTTGAATACTGGTTTCCAAGTTTCAATCAGCATCGATGTATATTAGAACACCATCTGGCAGCGAAGTCGTTACCTGTCATGCATGTACTTCTCGTTTATCATCTATCCCTTGTAACGGTTTGTAATTGGTTCCAGGAGAAGATGGGACTGGCCTCGGACCAACACTTGAGTTCTACTCGCTTCTCGCTGCCGAGCTTCGTCGTCGCGATGGTCTGATGTGGGTTGTAGACGATAGTTCCAATACATCGGATGATCCTTCGGAGGATAGCCGTCCCGCATTGCCTACTGTGGCCAGCAAAGCGACTATCGGAAGCAGCACTCACTCGCGATTGTATCAAGCGGATCAATCTGCTTCAAGCACTGAGATTAAGAATGCGGAAGCAGCGGAAGATGAAAATTTCGACTTGACCGTCGAAGCGAATGCCTATGTTAACACGGCCCATGGTCTGTTTCCTGCCGCATGGCCACAAGACCGCATACCCGAACAAGTCCTTTATCGGTTCTACATCCTTGGCATCACAGTGGCTAAATGCTTACAGGTAAAAAAGCTTCAACATCAACCTCCTCCTCGTTGAAAGACGATCTTTTCACTCATAGTTGTTAGAATCTCAAGGAACTAAGTTGATATAATCAGTATTTTTTCGCTTTGTGGTTATTTCAGTATTTAGGATAGCTTATGTTCATTCCGCTCTGAACTGAAGTTCATAATTATTTTTTCACTCAGTATATTAATTATTTGATCGTTAGGTTGTTCTCTCTTGTAGTTTAGTATAGTTTCGATCCCTTGCTAGTCGTAAAATTGCAGCCAATTCATTCTAGTTCATGTAATCAGTCATGCTGCCGTAGATGGTATAATGTTTTTCAGGACTTTTCGGTTTTATCTCCGGAAACCGAAACGTCTTGATGACAAAGATTTTATAGTCTGTCTTCTGAAAAACCACTTTTCCTTTGACGCGTTCCCTTACTTGCGCGGAAATGATTGACTTATATTAGTAGTTTAATCAACTAGCACAAGTCGACGGTTGACTGTTGATTAGTTGTATTGAAATCGCTTGATTCCTTTGCTTTTTGCGTGTTCAATATGAAACTACTCATGAGTAAAACAACCACAAATAGTGTCATTTTCTAAACAATTCGATGTCGATCGAATGGTTTTTGCCACTGTTTTTCATCCGTCTGTTCTTGTAGTAATTTCATTTTATCTTCGTTCCTGTTATCAAATTCACCCAAACCCTCAATTAAAGAATTTTTTTTATACGTGGTTTCTGAAGTTGTATTCTGATTCTCTTCGTTTCAGGACAATCGACGCATAGATCTTCCATTCTCTCCTCCATTACTGAAACTCCTTTCTTGCTACGGGAACGTATCACGTCTAAGGCAACAGAGTCACCTTCCAAGGAGCGATTCGAACTCAGAACGTAAATCAGGGGACTTCACATCCGTTGCACGAGCAGAAAGTGTGTTGACCTCATTGGCACCAGTCAGTTACTATTATCCCTCCATACTCCACTCCTTTGGGTTGTCTGCTACAGATAGAAATTCAGAGTCGGAAATGGGCGAATTTATGCTTTCACCGCGGTACCGGCTCTTGCACGATGCATCATCCGGTTCCACAGGGTCTTCCCATTGGATGTCAAATCTTCTTGGATTAGAAGACTTTGAACTGATCTATCCAGAAAGGGCTCGATTCTTCCGACAGGCTGTAGAATTCTGTCGTCGCAAGTATGCTGCTGGTCTTCAGTCCAGTCCACCACACACGGTGAATCGGGATACCTTGGAAGCCCTGGCTTCTGAGATATTTGGATGCACTGTGGAACAGATGTGTCTCAGTATGGAATTCCTTCCCACATCTAAGGTAGGTTTTAGTTATGAATTTCTAATAAATGGATGCGGGTTACACATTCATTTTGCTGTTTTTGTGCACAATCACACAAACTTTTTGAGTCTTTTGATTTGACTTGCTTGCCGCATGCGACCAACTTTTCGCACGTTGCGAGGTTTCTGTGTTGGAAAAAAATCACTCGGTTCCCAGCTGCGGTCCACCCGAGAAAATTTAGATTTCGGACGGTATATATTAGCCATATGATTTCGTGATCGATATCGGTGTGATTAATAAACTCAGTAATCATGTTGGAATTCCTTTTTCTTTCTAAATGACCTCTCACCACCGTAGAATCTTTTTACCCGCCGATAGTAACTAGTCCTTGATATGGTTTCTCCGAATGTACGAAAAGCACGCAAATCTCGTACCTTCATACTCTTTATTTAAGTGCAGTGCAATAAATTGATCGACGTGCTTCTCGATTAATGACATGTCCCCAGGCCGATGTGCCATTTTTCCAGCAAGCATTATTCCTTAAGTAGGAAATGAATGCTTGTGAAAAAGTAACATGTTTCATAATTGACGGCGATACATTGAGAGCAATAAAATGTCACATAGTTCCCATTGATCAGATTTTTTGTTTGCTCTGAAAAAAATGCTGCTCCATCGTTCAAATATTGTTCTACGAGTGATTATCGAATCTGGTTTCGGGAACTCTCGAAACATGCGCATCCGCCAGATGTTGCATCGATGACTATTGTGGGTTTCTTCATACGTACTCTCTTCCACCATACGTTTTTCAATGTTGTTCTTCATCGTTCCCATAATTATCTCGTGATTTCACCTATTATAACCATCTGGAGTAGCACTTGTCAAAGAGACAGAAACAAAAATAAAACGAATCACCTACTGCTGGAAACACTAAACGCTGAATACGCTTGGTTCATGAATTTCTTGATCATATCCTCTCGTTATCGCAGTTTTATGGTTTATGTTGCACCTGTAGTCATATATCTGCAACTGAAATGCTCTTTTTGCTTATCAAAAGCACCATTGTCCTTCGGTCATTACTTTACGCTATGCATTCAGGTTCAGAAATACTTTTCTATTTTGTGGTAAACAATTCGATTGCTTCCTACTTCCTGGACGTAGATGTCCACATTTATTTGACTGCGGAAACAAGTAAAGTTACGATGAGAAAAGGTCTATCGTCATAGTCATGAGCATGTATTGTTCGTCAGTAGTGGAAATGCCTTTGAGAACATTCACACAACAATCGCTAATTTTTCACTCCCTCTGGATTACCCTACTGGACCCGCCAATTAACCAGTGATACTGAATGCACCAACTAAGTCACACTGGAAAAATGAATTGTTTGAACTCTTACCGTATACCCTCAGTTTCTCTCCGCCCGAATTATATCACATCCATACCCCTCTCAGCAAACATTGACGAAACATTAACCGAAATATAACCAACCCACTACGTACATCTCACTCATGAATCCACGCCAAATACCGGTAGTGCAGTCAAACAAGGTAAGGGCGGTTTTCCGATAGAAATCGGTTCCAGTGAAAAAAATAGACAAAAGCAGTAACAATAAATTGCATCGATGGAGCTACTCTATTACGCAAGCAAACAGTGCATTTTGCAGAACATTTTATCGGATGTGATTCTAGTGAGAACGCGTCTGTATGAGTTGATATGTCATTGCCGCTATACAGTCCCAACCATCTCATTTTGACTGATCGTAATGTTGAATAACATTGCTTTATCCTTTGTTGTTGTCTTCAGATGTTCGCTGGTACCGGTATCCGTCTGTCCGATGTTTACGACTGGGAAGTGAGTCCCGTGACCGACTCATCTGCTTCACCCCAGTTCGGTCTTCCCGATGAATTAGATCTCAACACAGCATCAAGTGATCAAAACTGGGCTGGAGTAGATGACAACGAGGCCGAACCGGTCACCGTATACAATATGGAACAGTACGTGTTACGTACACTTGGTTATTGCTTGGACAAGGGTATCAGAAAACAAATGGATGCATTCCGAAGTGAGTGTGGTCAATACACATCTCTCCTTCTCCCCTTCACTTTATACAACTTTGTCTGTGATCTTTCCTCTGTTCAGTAATCTTTTGGATATTTGATTAGGGTTTAATGCGATGGAAATGTATTCGGTTTTGTAATATTACATCGGATGTTAACCCTCTCCGGGTATTCACTGTTTGGTCATGTTTTTCCTTCATGGTCTTCTTTTATGGAGCCATATAATTAATCGTCCCAAAGGTAACTCCAATACTGGTTGTATCATATTTGGTCTGTATTGTTGATATTTTGTCTAATGAGAAGCACTTTATTGTTGTTGTCCTTGTTGCCATTGTGTAGCATCCGAATTTTCAACCAAATGCATGCAACTGAATATTTGGAATCGAAGCGAAGATTTCCATTTGTCAGTGACATTCACATTCGGTTTCTTTTGCTAGTCAGATTGTCTATGTTGTGGATCATCATTAAGCCTTTCCTTTTAGCGCACCAAGATCCAGGTCTTCGATTACCGGTTCCCGGAACCGACCCGGCTATCGATAGGGCTCCCTACTCTACTACGGTCACGCAAGTTTCTTC